TCTCACCCTCACTCTTTGACCAAATCAAATAAACTTTTCTCTGCCCCTAAGGACTGATGCGTCAGTGTTTGGCTCTCTTCACATCGGGTGCTCAAACGTAACTCTTGGATTCCATAGCAGTTTCTTCTTGATGAACATCCAGTGTATAGTTCTTATGTCTAAAGCTACTATCAACACTTTGGTCCAAGGTTTATTGTGGACACATGTTTCCATTTCTCTTAGATAAATACTTTAGAGGCATTGCTCGATCATAGGGTAGGGGCAAATTTCACTTTTTAAAAATCTGGCAGTTTTCCAAAGTGGTTGAACACTGTAGGAGAGTTGCATCATATTCTGAACGTTTGGGCAGCCAATCTTTCTTATTTACTCATTCTAATGGGTGTGAAGTGGAATACCTTTGTGTTTTTAATTTGCACTTCTCTGATGACTAATGATGTTGGACACTTTGCTATTTGCTTGTTGGCCATTTAAACATTTTCTTTTTCTTTGTTTGAAACAAGGCCTCACTCTGTCACCCAGGCTAGGGTGCAGTGGTGGGTTCATAGCTCACCGCATACATATTCTTTAGTGAAGCACCTGTACAAATATTTTGCCTTATTATCTTTAACTTTTGAGTTGTAGTTCTTTGTGTATTCTGCATTCAGATACTTTTTTAAAATGCCCACATGGTGAATATTTTTCTCATAGCCGGTGGCTTAAACTTAGTTCCTTAATAGTGTCTTTTGATGAGTTTTACAGATTTTTTTTAAAAGGCCAGTTCTCTTTAGTTTCTCTGACCTTATCTGAGGAAAATGTTCCATATGTATAGAAGAAAGTAGTAAAGCCTATGCAAGGCTTGAAGCGTCCACCCTTATAACACTTAGAGTCGTTCATTACAGTTAGAAACTCTCTGTAATTTCTAAAAAAACAAAAGAGGAGCATTGTTGGTTATTTTTCTTAGGTCTGTGCTTCATATTTTCTGTTTTATTGCATATCTGGATCTCTGTCAAGAGTTAGTCTGACTAAATGGAAAGTGGGTGTTATTTTAAAAGTTCTTGGTTTTCATGATATGACTTCTTTGGAAAGAATTGCTTTATGTTTAGGAAAGTAAGGGTTACAGTGAATTATTGAAAAAGTTGTATCTTTCTAAAATTGTCCAGTCAAAAAACAATGAAACTTTTACAAAAAATGGAATTGGTTGTGGGGATTACATTCCAAAAATCTGGGAAGCCTAGCAGGTGGGAACTCTGCAAATCACAGCAAAATGCACTTGTCGGCATATCCTTCTCACTTTGTTTATATTTTTATATTTTTATTTTATTTTAAGGATGTAGGGACAATTCAGGATTCAGTACACAAGTGGTCATTGTACAGGTGAAGGTTGGGCCTCCCATCGTCCTCACCACACCCGGTTTGGGATCGGTACTCTTATTAAGTGCCAGCCGGGCTCGGTGGCTCAGCCTGTAATCCCGCACCTTTGGGAGGCTGAGGTCAGTGGATTGCCTGAGCCCGCAGGTTCAAGACCCACCTGGGCAACTTGGCGAGACCTCATCTCTACAATAAATCAAAAATTAGCCGGGCGTGGTAGTGTGTGCCTGTAGTTCCAGCTACTTGGAAGGCTGAAGCGGAAGGATCGCCACAGCCCAGCAGGTCGAGGCTGTGGTGACCAGGAGCGGCCACTGCACTCCAGTCTGGGAGACAGAGTGAGACTCCAACTCAAAAAAAAAGAAAGAAAATTAAGTGCCTCCACCCCTGGCAGTATCCTACTATTGCCAATCCTTTCCATGTAGCATTATGATAAATGTTCAGGGTCCACTTATGGGCGAGAGCATGTGATACTCAGTTCTTTGTTTCTGTGATAGATCACTGCCCTTCTCACTTTATATTACTAACAATGTGTGGTTCTGGCCTCTGCTGGCAGTCGGTAAGAAAGTCTTTCATGAGTTCTTAATCACTTCATTTTCCAGTTTTTCAAATTGCCAGTCCAAACCTTCACCTCTTGCCTCATCTCAATCTGAAGCATACTCCTCATGCTCATAAAATGATGACCAGTTCAGATTAATAAATGGTTACTAAGTGTTTACTGAATGTCAGGCATTTAGCAAAAGAACATGGTTCCTGTCCATGAGAAATTAATAATCAAGGCAAAACTTTTAACTCTAATATCTATTCCCTTTTCTAAGGGAATAGATATTGTCTTGTTCCCTTACATCTTATTGGGTGGTTTTTTTTCCCATCAATTGTTCACTTCTCTTTCCTACAATGGCAGTCATCCATGGTCCATTTGTTTCCACCCTCAAGATATAATTTTAGCATTCAGCTTAACATCAAGCTTCCTACAGACCTTTCTTAATTTTTGTGTCTGGCTCAAAGAAATGTAAAAAAAAATCTATCTACCGGTCTATACTTTTTTTGGTAAGAATATGTTCCATACAATATTTGAGATATAAAAGTATTCATTACTTGTCTGAAATTCAAACTTAACTGGACATCCTATATTTTTGTTTGCTAAACTCGGCAACCCTACAAAGAAGGATGCCATTCATAATGTGAATAAAAACTCCTGAAAGTCATCATTCTCTGTCCTTTTCTGTCTCCCATACATAGGCCAGGTACTCTCAGTCTTCTCCATTTTCACTTCCATTCCAAGCTTCCACAAAAAACGAACTCTGTCTAAACAGGTACCTCTCTGTTTAATTCTTCTCAAAAGACAAAGCAAAAACAAAACAAACAAACAAAAAAAACCCTCCAAGACAGTTTGCTCCCCAGCCCATGTTCATTGTCCTAGGCTATGAGACTCTCAATAAACAATCCCTCTTACCTCACCTAAGTTTTGATCAAAACTGAAGAATTTAGGCAGATAGAGAACAAAAATATTTATTACAGATAAAGACCGGTTAGAGAACGGGGATTTGGCATGAACCAACAATGGGTTTTCTAAGTCTGATCTTTAGAATTAGACAGATGTACAACCTAGTCACAGGAATTACTGAAGTTTCAACACTAGGATTTGTCCTGAGAAAACTGAGGACATGAGGAATAGGTGAGAATGCCTGCTTGCTTTCGATACCTGGTTCTTTTCAAAGGAAACTGGAGGACAGCTCATCTCCGAACTCTCCAGACTGTCAAAAATAAGACACCTCTGTGAGTCACTTCAAATTCTGTCCCCCTGCCTCTTAATCTAGCTGCTGCTGAGGTTACCAGTTCTGCACAGACTTTAACTAATTTTGTACACTGTTACCTGGCAGCACTTCCCCTCACATCTTACTCCAGGGCTTTCATATGCTTTAAAATAGAACAGGTACACTTGTTGCTCATACTGGAGCAGTCTGAATTAACACCCAGTGATCTCCTTGACCAATGGAGACAAAAAACCAGTAGCTATATGCTTCCCCCACTTTTACTCTGAGTGAATTCATTTTATAAGGTTTCTCTGAAGGTTCATGGGGTGAGGTACAAGAGACCGATTTGAGAACAATCATTGTGTTAGCTTTCCCTCCTTCCCTGTTCCACTCCTCTTTCTCTCTTAGTTTTATTCTGTGAAGTCACTTCCCAAATAAGCTACATGCATGTGAGATCATATTTAAGGCTCTGCTTTCTGAGAATCCAGGCTAAGACACTAGGAAATGAGAAGTGAATGGGAGAATAAAGAGAGGCAAAGAGTGTCATGTCAATGAATGTCCCTCCATGAGGAAAGAAAAATTAGAAATAAAACTTCCTCTCTAATAGGGAAAATAACAACAATACAACTTATATCAAAGACATTAAAAAATACTTACATTGATAAGTCTAACATTTAGGAAAAAAGTTAAGGAATTCAGTCATTTTCTTATGGAATCGCAAAGAGAGACAAGAAAGTCAAAGGTAGCAGACCAGCCTAGTAGTAGACATGAGGCTTCCAAGCCATGAAAGCCCCCAGATGGAGTTGGCTCACATTGGAAAGTACTTATTTTAATCAGGAAAAGACTGGAAAGATTTGGGACCCCTTCTAGTTCCGTGTGGTTGACTATGTACAATTAGATATAGGAGAATCTTGCAGGCAAAATGGATGTTAGGATCATCATTTTAGACTCACATTTTCTGATTCTTGTATCTTGTGGAATGGTTTAGTTTTAAGCAAAGGAAGATATATGGCATGCTAAGGATGAAGAGAAAACTCACTGACCATAACAAGGTTTCTTCTAAAACAAGTGTAGTGCAGTCTTCCATCATAGGTTAAGGTTGGTAGTGGTATCAGCCCAGAGAGGTTGGGCTGTGTATTACATGGTCAAGACTTCCCTTTTGAATTTTGGGCTCTTCTCACAATGCTGATTTGTGTCTACTGCACACCCCTAGCATTCTTGTCTCTAGTTTTCATCCGTACTTCTAATCTATATGTTTCTTTCTCACTCCTGAGTCATTCCTCAGCTTCTGAACTCACCTTAGGTAGGGGTGGCGTGTTGCTCCTCTCAAGCTCTTAAGTAGAAACCACAGAATAGCTCCTGCTTGAACATACCTTTTTTTGTGTATTTTTTTTTTGTAATGGGATAGGATTTACCTGTTAGAAGATTGCTGAAGCTCCACGTGAGAATGTTTGCTCCATGCAGGAGAACCCAGAGGATCTTGAGATGAATGTGCCTCAGGCCAGGAAGCATGTCCCAACTAGGATCTTTCCAGTTGAATTGCTTTGTGTCATGTACACTGACACTTACGGTCCCTGGAATTTTGACTGTGGGCCTGCCATCTTGGTGGGTGGATGGCATTCTCTTTAAAAAGACAGCTTGTTTTTCTTGGCTAGAGGCTAGATTGTCAATATTTCCCCTTAGTAAAGCGGCACGAGGTTAAGAACTGGGTGCTTCTCCATAAAGCACTGACCATTCTGAGTCCCTGGGGATTTAAAGCAGCTCCCAATGGCTGAAAAACTTCCTTTTCAGGGCTGTACTTTCCAACCAGCAGGTGGAGAGCTGAATCACTAAGGTCACAAATGGAAAGGGAGGAGCATAAAGTGAAGGCTTTATATTTCCTTTTGAGGGACACAGGGCCAGTCTAACTTGTCAGACTGTCCACTTCACCACCAGAAAGCAACAAAGGTAAGGAGAAATGTTTCTGCGCTTCATTATCTCAGCTGTGATTGTTGTCCAAGGGCAACAGATGAGAGTAAAAGGTGGCATTTGGATAGGTTGTGTAATGAACCAAATAGGGGGCAGCTTATTGTTTAATTGAGTGTGGCATTTGTCGACCTCTTCATATATACATTTACATGTTTTAATGTCATTGATAGTGTGCATTTAAAAATCTTTGAGGCAGCCTGACTTGATTTCAAACCTCTGATTTGTTTAGTAAAGTGGAACTCTGTTGATATTGTCTACTTACTCTGTAATAATCTGTATTCAAAACATGAGCTGTGAGCTTTGTGTATTGAGTCACTTCTTAGCTCCTTAGAAGATCTTTATTCCACTACACCATCCTTATTAATCATTACGTTGAAGACACATTTCTTTATTTTCTTTTCTTCAGTTTCCCCTTATGGCTTAAAAATTACTCTCATAAATAGTATGTGTATTGTGTACTTACATGTGAAGTGTCATGGTTTATGTTTATGTGAGCATTCTGGAATTCTTTCTATTTCTAGGAATGAGCATATGTAAAATTTACAAATTTGAAGGACAGAAACAGAGTAAAAGAATAGCTCTGGTTTAGGGAATAGGAGGAAGGCACTAGATAAGTTGTCATGAGAGAAGAGTCTTGTGAATGGGGAAGACAAGAAGTTGGCTCTCAGCCACCCTTGGTGATCTATTTCCTCCCAAAACACAGACTCAGACCCTCTGTCCACTTGTATTTCTGTAGTGTCAGTATCCCATTCTAAGACATGTTCTCTTCCTCACATTTCCTGAATAGAGTTGTTTTTTCTGGAAATCCCCATTTCTTAACCTAGAAGGGATACAGCCTTGGACATCTTTCTTTTCCTTTCATTATCCCATGATAGCTTCTATCTCATTTACTTGGCAGAGATTTTTTTCTTCCAGGACATACTCAACTTTCTTTCATCACCTAAGTAGGACCTTCTGGGGAGTCCATTCATCTTTAATATGATTCTGCATGTCTTAAGACTTCTGTCTTCCATGGGTTCTGCTTCTCTGAAACTGACAAGGCAACATGAATTAGATCTGAAGTTGTAATATATTCAAAATGCTGATTGCTTTATATGTATGGATTTCTGGGTGATTGAGAAAGACACTGATAGTTTCACAGGTAAATTTTCCTTGCCCTTAAAGAATATTTGATCTAGTGAGGAAGACCATCATATTCAATGCATTAAAATCTGTAAATTTAACCACATATTCCTTTGTACATGCAAAGACAATTACCCAGATATAGAGGAAATTGTCAATAAGGGCATAAACTTAGCTGGATATAAGAGTAATATAATAACTTGGTTGTGAAACAACTCTGCCAAAAGCTAAAAAGGTGGAATTTTAGAAAGTGGATGAAGAAATAAATGCCATTCACTTTGGTCCTACATTAATAAAATAGTTCAAACTCTGTCTTGCCAATAAACATGCTAAATACCAAAGTTCATGAAGTAATTACAACTGTGTATTGATAATTGTTTTTGAGAGGGATCTGAACCTGAAGTGTTCCTTCTTAGTACGGTGAACTGAATGCTTAGAGAGATGTAAGAGCTAACTATGAAATGAGACAAACACCATCACCCATCCTGCAGGACTGAGGATTCTGAATCATACACATACGACACTTGGCACATGAACGAACCATGTGATTTAGCCTCTTCCTTTAGAAGAAATTCTCATAGAAGTGTGTAAGGGGCATGCATATAAGGTTGTTCATTCCAGCACTGTTTGTGATGGCATGAAGTAGGAACCTATTTGTGTGTCTGTTGCAGGCAAGTGAATAGACAAAACTGTAGAAGCAGGAGAATGCAGCAGTGAGAAGTCACAGATTATGTTTTCCAGCTAACATGATGCATCTTAAAAATATAGTACAAAGTGGAAAGAAAACTACTATAAGCTCACTGATGAAAATTTAAAGACGCATAAGAGAAAGAAAGAAAGAAATATTTTCAAGAGCACACATAAATGAAAGGCTATGCTTTAAACAAATTATGTGTTGTCTATGGTGGTGGAGGAGAAAGGGAATGAACGGGGTCAAATGCAATAAGCAAATAAGAGAATAGTTTCTGTAGTCCAATGATGATGTATGCCAAAGAAATAACAAGTGTGGTGACCTCATCCTTCCTTGCAGTCTTGTAAGAAAATTACAGATCAATAAAAGTGCCTGACACATAATAACTGGCCTATCAGTATGTTCCAAACTATTTTTTAGGTGCTCCAGTAACAGCAGGGCTATAATAGCTATGATATGTGGATAGGCTATTTTATAATAACAACATGACATAAATGTAAGAAAATAAACAAATATTTACTTGTAAGTCTGATATTATATTCCAGAATCGACTTCACTAGCTAACTCCATTCACTAAAATGCAGAATACAAGGTAAAGAGTAATTGACTTTGTTATACTTTATTACTGAAAGTGTTTTCATTGTTAAAGCAACTAAACAATGGACTTTCCAAAGCACTGTTATTATTACTCATGATACAGAGAGCTGTATTAAAGTTAACTTGAAGGATAACATCCTGTTAAAGGTACATATTTGCATTTTAGTGAGTTAAGATTAGAAAAAACATTTTGTTATATATTTTTTTAAAAACTGTCAAGAACAAAGAAAAGTATTGTCCAGGCTTGGTATTGTATAACTGCTGGGCCCTATTTACTATGCTGAGCTGTTTGACGACTGGAATGTATACAATCTGCTCCTTAATGATTATTTTTAAGGCAACCAGTTTCAATTACAGGGGCAGGAGATCATAATATTTTACTATATAAGTTTCATGGGCCAGTATTTTGAAACTCCACAAGTGACTCTTTGCCTGATAAAAGCTAAGAAGAATAATATAAATGCCTAGCTCAGTTACAAACAAGGTTACACCCCAGAGAACATACCTCTGGCGAACTGGGCTCAGATATGTACTGGTTAAAACCAAGATAAGTTAGTAACTAGGATAAATATATGGAGATGGGAATATATACTGGTCATCTGTCATATGTCCTAAATAATAGACTTAGACTAGTATTCTAAAATTTAAAAAAAGCTGTAATCTGGAAGCTTAGAGGTTAAAAAAACATAAAATTCTCAGATCCCCAGTGGACTAAATAAAGGGAAATATGTAACTATGTTAGAAAAATGTGAATGTGGGGTAAGTGGACTAATTTGCTTTAGTGGGCAACAGTGTACAAAGAAATCTCTGAAGTGAGTTGGAATCTTTTTATCTGTAACTAATGGAAGAATCAACTAAAATGACTTAAACAATAAGAAAAATTATCATTTCACGTGACAAGAAACCCCAAGGTAGGGCAGATCCACTCAATAGAATGTCACCAAAGACCTATGTTCTGTTCATTCCTCCTGTCTTATATCCTGACTTATCTTCTTAGGCTGGCTACCTCATGATCACAAAATAGCTGCCACAATAGTTGTTACATGCAGATTGCATACCCCTGAGAGGCATAAGAGGGCTGGTTTCCTCCTGTGGATCTCTTCTTATAGAAATCCTTTTCCAGAAGCTCTCCAGCAACTTTTATGTCTTATAGTCAAGAATTATGGCACCTTCTGACTCCTAACCCAGTGTGACTTACAGGAAATATGGAATCCCCTCAGTTGGCTTAGATCAATCAAGACTTTCTCCTGAGTGCTGAGGAGATTAAAGCCTTCTCGAAAACACATGACTATATGAAATTTGCATGAAGCGGTTTCTATAAGTACAAATGGAGGAAATAAAGGGGGAGGGCTGAATGGTAGGCAACCAACAGTAGTTGTTGTTTTTTAAATATGCTATCTGGGGAGATATGTGAGAGAGAGAGAGAGAGAGAATTGATTGATTATCAGCAATATAATAAAAACTCTTAACTGGGTGAGATAAAGAACCAATTTTATCTTGAGCTATCTTGGGTTGTCTCTCTTTCTCCTCAAAAGAACATGCAAGTCTTCCAAAGATAAAATTCTGCCTGTCTCCATCTCCAGCTCTACTGCTCACCACTTCTGATCTCCTATTACATGCCCTAGTAATATAAAATTTATCTTTCATGTGTTTGAGTCTCTGCTTATGCTATTACTTCTGTCAGAAATGCTCTTCCTGCATTTATATACCTGCATGACTCTTACATCATTCTTCAAAAGCAGCAGGGTTATCATCTCCTCCTGGAAGTCTACCTGTAACTTTCAGGTTGGCTCTCTGTGTCTTCTCCCTGCTTTCACGATATTCTGTGCAAACCAGCATATCATAGTACTTATTGGGGTGAAATTCCTTTCTTCATTTCTTTATTCCATAAATGTCTGTTGAGTTGCTATTCTACGGCCAGGCCTTGTCCAGGTGCTATATTAAAGCATAAAAAACAAGCCGGGCTCGGTGGCTCAGCCTGTAATCCCACACCTTGGGAGGCTGAGGTGAGTGGATTGCCAAGCCCGCGGGTTCGAGACTCGCCTGGACAACTTGGTGAGACCTCGTCTCTACAGTCAATCAAAAAATTAGCCGGGCGTGATAGTGCGCACCTGTAGTTCCATCTACTTGGAAGGCTGAGGTGGAAGGATCGCCGGAGCCCAGCAGGTTGAGGCTGCGGTGGCCGGGAGCAGCCACTGCACTCCAGTCTGGGTGACAGAGTGAGACTCCAACTCAAACAAACAAACAAACCAACAACAACAACAACAAAAGTTATTGCTGTATTGGAAGTGGTACTCTAGAGGGAAGGGGGCAGACAATAAAAACATGTATAGTAAGTAAGGTGGTATTATGTGCTATGGTAATGGGATGGGAGGATATGGGTTGATATCTCAAATAGAAAGGCCAGAGAAAGGCTTACTGATGAGATGCTATCTGAACAGAGAGATGAATGAACTATTGGTATGAACCGTTAAAATATCTTTGAGAGGCAACCCCTTCAGGTCATCTCCCACTGTGGGAGCTTTTCTGTCCCCTCAATAAATCCTGCTTTCTCAGGGAAAAAAAAAAAAAAGAATATCTTTGGGAAGAGCACACCAGAAAAAGGATAGAAAATGCAAAGACCTAACCGGATGTGGTAGTGTGTGCCTGTAGTTCCAGCTACTTGGAAGCAGGGCGACAGAGTGAGACTCCAACTCAAAAAAAAAAAGAAAAAGAAAATGCAAAGACCTCAAGGTGCCACATCTTGGCACGTTGAAGGAATGCAAAGAGGAGACATGACTAAAGCAGAGCGAGCTGGTGGGAGAGTGGTAGGTGACGAGGTCTAGAGGTGGCCACAGCCAGATCATAGAGGGGTTTGTAGGTCATAGTGAAGACTTAGTGTGGCACTGTGACCTCACAGAACTTGGCCTGTAGCCCTTTCCCCACCCCCAGAGGGGCATTGTGCCCAACTTTCCACTGTTAAGATAGGGGAATTGAAGCCTCAAGACAAGAAGGGCTGGGTGGGAAGACCTGAGGCTACACTCGCTGGGCCACACCTCTTCATGTTCTCCCTGAGCATTCCCAGGTCTCCCAACACTTGCCTTAGCTTGCGCATGAATGTGTCTTGTCCTACTGGGCTTCTCAGTGGCGGCCAACTTGCAGACCACAAATGTGATTTGACAAAGTTCTGCTTGTTACTGGGGAAAAAATTAAAAGCGTCATGGTGAACACGTCTGACTTGGGTTTCTTGTGTGAGCCCTACCTGTTCAGAGCCTGACTATCAGGTTAGTGAAGCAAAGAGAACTTCAGCTGAATTGAGTTCAATCCCAATTGCAACATGAACCCATGGGGATTTCCAGACAAGGAGCAAGGTGAATGTAGAAGTTATGAAAGGAAAAGATTGGAATGTATAACCTCCAAAGGCCCCTCTGGTGGGCTGTTTACTGTTCCTTTTATGTAGCGGAATTCAGCTGACCTTCCAGGACTAGGAGTGCACCGCAGTTTCGGCGACACCCTTTCAGCTGACCCTCTGAAAAGTCAAGCCCTGCTTCAGTGTCACACAACGGAGGTTGTGACGGATCCAGCTTAAGAACTTTGCTCTGCTCGGTCAAACTTTGTATTTGCTGAACTGTCATTTTAATTGCTGTAAAAAAACTGAGTTGTCTCCATTGAGCATGTTAGAAAAGGGTTTCACTAGTATTGCCATTCTTATAGGAAATGTTCTTGTGCATTTATGTATTTCTGCTTCATTTGGGTGTTTGTCACCTCCCTCACACACCCAGCATGAGCATGCATGTAGAAGCTTGTCTAATTTACTTTTATAAATAAACTTTTTCAAACTGTCAACAACAAAAAAAGACTTTGGATTCTTCTCTGAAAGAAAGAGAAGCCACTGAAGTTTTTGAGCAGAGGAATGCCTATCTAACTGATACTTTAAAAAATATCACTGTAGCTTCTCTACAAATTTTGCAGAGTATTGTAAAGACAAGTAGGAAGATGAGTTAGGAGATTATTTCAATAATCCAAGAGCACCTCTTTCACTGGTAAATCTAGGGAGCATGAAAAATGGGCAAGTGGTGAATATTTTAGAAGTTAGAGAAAGCAGGGGCTTTTCATAGATTGGATGAAAATGAGGAAGTATTTCAGGATGATTCCAAGATCTTTTGTCTGAGAGAATGGCATTGCCATTTACAGAAATGAAGAAGGTTGTGGGGATTCAGGCTGAAAGGAGGATTTGGAATATCAAGAGTTCATTTTTTGGAAATGTTAAGTTTGAGATATCTATTAGATAACCAAGTGGAGATGTTGAGTAGGCAGTTAGATATACGGGTTGAGAATTAAGGGGTAGTACACATTCAAGAGCTAACAGCATATCCACACCTTTGAAAGCATGAAGTTGGATGCGATCACCTGGGGTATGAGTGTACATTGAGAAGAGGCCCAAGATCTGAATTCTGTTGTGTTATGAGAGATAGAGGTTGAAAATTGAGAAGGATTTTGAAAAGGAGACAAAAAGAGTAGTTAAGGATGTAGGTTGTGAACCAAAACATCTTCATGACTTGGAAGTTAAAGAAAGGAATTGTTCAATGGCAATGAGGCTTCTGAAGAATAAAGCCTCCCTGAGGGCAGGAACTATTCTTGATTATTTTTATGTTGACAGATCCTTACAGTTAGCTGTGCTGGGTAAATGTTTATGGAGCTAAATAAACTCTTTCTTCCTGACATACTCTTGTCCTAAGATAACAAATATTCCAGCATCATATTTTCTTCTTTTGAACTTTCCGTTTTCATTCTTCTATTTTCACTGTCATCATGGCTGAGACTTAAAGGCTAAAGGCTCTGACCACCTCCCTATGGCATGACCTACTTATTAGTATTGTTTTACTTTTATGGAGGGTACAGAGAATGATGTCCCACAGAGGGGACAAAGCTGTGTAGATAATTCTTCCCTCATTTGCTTTATTGTATTTCAACTTGTTTGAGCAAAGATGACAGGGATGGAGATGTTCTTCTCCTATGAGATTTCAAAGCTGGGCAGTTTAATGGGAAAATATTTTGATTAGGTGACTTTGTGTAGCTCAATAATTTTTCTGCACAAGTTCCAGGATGAAGAATGTTTTAAGACATGGGAAATTGAGAACACAGAGACCCAATTTCTTCTGCTGTTTTGTCCAGAACAATTATAGATCGTTTTAAGATAAACAAAAACTAAAGCAAGAAAGCTTTGAACTATGGGTTGAAGTACTAGTCAATCTTCTATTCATCAGAATAGAAAACTACTGTGAATTCCTCTCTCTAACATTTACTAATATCTCAGATATTGTAGTAATGGGATAGGACTTGTTCATAAAGCAGTGCATGCAGATGCTTAAATTTATGAACTGTGATGACTGAATTCTACATATTACCTGTATCTTCAAGTGAAGTTCTGAGGTTATTTCTCCCTTCTGTTCTCAGGCAGTGCTTGGCATAAAAAATGGGTTCTCTCAGCACAGCAAACGTTGAATTTTGCCTTGATGTGTTCAAGGAGCTGAACAGTAATAATATAGGAGATAACATCTTCTTTTCCCCGCTGAGTCTGCTTTATGCTCTAAGTATGATCCTCCTTGGTGCCAGAGGAAACAGTGCAGAGCAAGTGGAAAAGGTATGGAATGTAGCAGAGATATTTCCTTAGAGACCGGGAGTCTTTTATGCATCCCCTTCAAGTCAGCCAAATTGCTTCTCTTTTTATACCATGAAAAGTTCACCATCTTGTGAGGGAAAAAAAAACACAAACACACATTTGAGTAAATCATATTATTTGAAAAGGGATAAAGGCTTAAATAATGTAATACACTGAATTGCAAATAATGCAATTGTTTCTTCCTTACTATCAGAGATACCACAAAGAAGTCCCTGCATTTTAAATTTCTTCTTGTCAGTGGATTAAATGTGATGAACACATGTATGCTACTATTATTGTCCTCTAGAAGGTTAAGCATATAGTAATAAAACTTAATGTTATTTTAGATGTTACCAAGTTTAAAAGGTATTGCATTAGATTAGGACTTCATAACCACCCAGTGTAGCAGTTAGTAATTTTTGGTCCCATTTTATGATGGGAAAACTGAGACTCAGAGAGGAAAGACGACTTTTCAGGTTACATGGGCTAATATTAGTGAGTTTTCCATTGCATATGTTTTTATTGCAGTGAAAAGTCTGGAAGAAAGTCACTTAGCAACTTTTGAGATACTTGCACATCTTATTATTCATTGTGCTAGGAAGCTATGTAATGTCTTACATGGCCCCAGATGGGTACTGTCCTAGGTAATGGCTTAAAATAGTAGGAGAGGAACAGAAGAGCCCAGTGGATAAGAGACCAGTCCCTGGAACCTCATAGACAATGGTTTGGGGCAAGCTGCTTGATCTCTCTTGACCTTAATATCCCTAACTTATAATGTTGTTGGGAAGGTTAAATATGATAAATAAAGACCTGGACTTGGGAACATAGCATTACCAAATGTTAGCTATCACAATTAGTCTTAATTTGAAATAGAACAATTGATACTTATAACTATCAACCTTTATAGACTGTACATTGCCAATTAATCTTTTTTTTCTTTTTTAGGTGCTTCATTTTAATCATACAGTAGAATCATTAAAACTAGAACTTAAGGACTCACCTAAGGTATGATAATACCAATGCTGAGCTAGCAAATGTTCTTTAACATAAGAGAACCAAGAAGTAATGATCCAGAGATTGAATTGCAGAGCTTTTTCTTTAACCCATAAGGGAACTAGCTATGAGTCTCTCTTTAATCTTCCTGCTAATCACTACAGCCTATAGTGTTTAATATAATAATAATGACTACAGCATTAGTCATTATTATTTCATTAAATGATTCACTGCCATCTTATTCAAACTTTCCTGTTCTTTCATAGACTGTGCCCAATGTTGAATTTGCCAACCTTGTCTATGTAGTGTTAGATGAGGTTTTCGTTTTTGTTTTTTGTTTTTCTGTCTATATTAGGGCCTGTGAAAGAACCCTGATGCTTTGACATAATTATATGTTGGTAGAACATGGCCTCATGTTGCCCAGTCCACATGTTCTAGGACTATAGTCCTTAGTTCTTTCCAGTAGAAGAATTCTCTCTGACATCATTATATGGAGCTCTTAAATGAAAGTAGTGATGTTTAATTGTGATTGATTGAGCAAATACATTGATACACCTAGATTCATAAAACACTAATTTCACAGAATGTAACTTATTATTAGGGTTTCAAAGCCCTTGGTCTGAGAACCTTTGCTTTAGGGCAGCAGTCCCCAGCCTTTCTGGCTTCGGGGACCAGTTTTGTGGAAGACAATTTTTCCTCGAACTGGAGTGGTAGTTGAGGGGATCATCAGGCATTAGAGTCTCATAAGGAGTCTGCAATCTTGACCCCTCTCATGCACAGTTAACATACGGCTTGGGCTCCTATGAAAGTCTAATGCCCCCACTGACCTGACAGAATGCAGAGTTCTGCTTGCCCACAGCTCACCTCCTGTTGTGTGCCTGGTTCCTAACAGGCCACAGACTAGCACCAGTCCGTGGCCTGGGCTTTGGGACCCCTGTTTTAAGAAATATAAAAATAATGCCTATAATGTCCATGAACTTTTAGCCATCTTTCAAATGCATCAAAGCTTCATACTTGGTAGAACTGCTACCCCTGAAGGACACATGAGTGTGTAAAGTCAGTTCAATGAAGGGTTGAAGTGCTGAAGTGTTTGATTAAATGGCCACATAAAAACTGAGACATAGAATCTCATTATTTATGAAAATTGCTTTTGGATTAAACCATTAGGGCCAACAAGTGAACGTGTGTTTTGCAGTAGCTTGTGATTCTGCACACAGAGGGCAACCAAAGTCATAGAGTGATGAGACTATTGTGCTTGAGAAAATCTAGAGAGGACAAATGCTTTAAACTCTTTAATTTCTTGTATACTCTGCCTTTTTACTCAGAGGCATACACCTTGCATCCTAAGTATTGTTTTCACCTTACTTATCACTCTTCAATGGCAAAATCAAGCAATTTAATACACCATTATTTGTTCTCTAATGTTTCAGTGCAGTCAAACTGGAAGGATTCATTCAGAGTTTGGTGTCTTACTCTCTCAAATCAGTCAACCAGATTCTAACTATACCCTCAGCATTGCCAACAGACTCTATGGGACAAAGATGATTTCATTTCATGAGGTAAGTCCATCTGAAAGGGTGGTCAAAAACTTTCTTGGTGCCCTCTCAATTTCATACCACAAAATCAATGAAAATGAAAAAGGGTCACCTGTTATTTATTGTTAAGAGACTGAATTTGAGCCGACTTAGAGTTTCAGTGAAATGGTTTTACTGAGATTCTCATTTAAAGTTGTGAATTATCACATACAATTTTGATTTCTGCAAAATCTCTGCAACCATTTAAGAGCCAAAATCAGGGATGGAAGCACAGAACAAAGTAGGTGAGGATTATCCCTTATGGGCCAGAAGAAAAACAAAATACATTTTTTTCAATTCCTTTTTTGAAGATAGTAAACCAAATACATTTTTTCATATCTTCTTCAAAGGCCTTTAATGGTAGAGTAGCAAGAGGTAGTTGAAAGTACACTGAACTGGTAAGCAAGAGACTATAATTCTGTTCCCACTTAGAAAAGACTGTGAGCCGGTCAATTCTGTCTTTAAAATGAATGGATTAGACTATGTGCTTTCTAGCTCCAAAATTCTAATAGTATCTATGCTTTTTCCTAACACCACCTTAAGATGTAGTTTTATTGTGTTTTTACTATGTGCCAATCATTTTCCTTAATAAATTATAATAATTAGCTCATATAATTCTTACATTGTGCTAATATGGAGGTAAAAAATTACCTTTCATTCTACAGACTGTGCAGCAGATTCTAAAAAGTAAAGTTGACAATTATCGCAGAGATATTTAATGTCATGAACTTGATAATGAGATAGACCTTATCATCTCAGGATTCTGGCTGGGAAAAATGACCATCTCATGGGCTTGGGGAGTTAGTTAAGAATGTTTCAGACACAATTGATCTCAGCTCAAGACAAGAATCATTCTAGGCCTAGTTTGTGCTTTTGGTTAAGCTCTGCCTTTCTTCTACACTGGATTCAGGCACAAATAAACCTAGTTAGACAAATGGAAAACAAAAGCTAGTCAGTCACTTTCACAGCTACCATATTTCTGAGTCTTGTATCATCCTGTTCATGATGGGGCATTGGGTTCTGCTGAGCTATGGAAGGATGTCCCCGACATCTCAAGAATAAAATCACAGCAATTTCATGGGTCCATGTAAATTTGATTGCAGCCTTGGCAGGAAGGCAGTGAAAAGTTGGCAGCTCTAGGAATTGAGGTCTATGGGTGGTCATCAATGGTGGTTCCAGGATACTACATGAGAGGGTCTTGGGGGTAAGAATTTAATTAAAAGAGAGCTAGTTTTTTTGTTTGTTTGTTTGTTTTAACACTGAGTTTGGATAATATGTTATAGATAAACAAAAGAGTGAATTCCTGGAGATACTTTTGTTTCACCTTTTACCTAAATTTGAAAAAATGCCCATTATCTACATCAGAGAATATTATCAATACTACTTGTGGTGGCGAACAGGGAGATTGATACACCCTCCACAAACATACATATCATGAGGAGACTGTCTGTTAGACCTCAGACAAGCAAGTCACTTAACCACTCTGGCTTTCAATTTTCCTGTCTGTAATATGAGAGCAGTAACTCCCATTTGTCCGCGAAGAGGAAACGGTAGGGATGAAATGAAAAGGCACTCTCTGTATTGCAGTTTATCCTTTGGCTTTAAACATTTGAGAGCTAAGAAAGCCAATTATATGACAGAAGTGACAAACAAATATTTCCAAATGTTCCTTTTGGAAAGGTTTTGGATTTTGTTAAATTTATTTGTTTTATTAAAAATAAGTACATATAGATCTGCTCCTTTCAGTCTTGTGTATAGGAACTGCTTTTGTCTTTGTGTTAGGATTTTAGAATATATCAAGCTGTAAGGTTTTGTTTTCTTTGTACTATTTTTGTGTTGCTGTTCAATTGTCACTTCTTTTATAGCAATATTTAAGCTGTTCTGAGAAATTGTATCAAGCCAGATTGCAAACTGTTGATTTTGAACAATCTGTGGAAGAAACGAGGAACTCTATTAATGCTTGGGTTGAAAGTAAAACTAATGGTAAGGATAATTCAGATACATGTCTCTAGACTTTGTGCTGTATGATAAACTGCCTGAGTCAGTATGCTAACAAGGAAGTTGGATGAAACCCAGCACCCTACACAGGCAGATCAGCAATGAAGCAAATGGGGTCATATTTTGGAATAACCCTTCTAGTAATTTGTTTCATTGATCAACACAAAGTGACTCTGAGAATGAGCACTATTTCTACTTCATAAAATTGTTGTATGTCTTGCGATTAAATATATTTACATCTACTTTTCACAATTTAAAAATATATATTATAAAATATTCTTTTAAAAAATGACACACCAAATATTTGATACCAAAGATATGTTCATTTTTTATTTTAAAACATTTAGCTAAGAAAAAAATTAAGGAAATACAAAAGTAGAGAAAATATATAATAGTAGAGAGAATATATGATGAACTTTTATTTATCCATAACCGCAATGCTTATCACTATAAAGCCATTATTTTACCTTTTCCCACCACCTTGTTCAGATTATTTTGGTGCAAATTCCAGATACCATATCACTTTTTCAATACAAATTTCAATTTGTTTCTCTCAAGAATATTAACTATTTTTAACACAACCACTACACTATTATCACATCTAAAAAATTAAAAATAATAATGTTAACAAATATTTGATGAATTTTAATCCAGTTGCCTCTTTTTTTAATTTAAATTGGGACCCAAGTGGCATTTATGCATTGCATTTTGTTAGTATGTCTCTTAAGTCTTAATTTGTAAAATAAACTTTTTGATTGAAATATACATACATATAGAAAAGTAAATTATCGTATGTATACTGTTTGATAAATTATCACAAAGTGAATACACCCATGAACCACCACCCAGCTCAGGAAAATCAAAAGTTAGTAGAAGGAGCACAGCAAGGTTATATGCATATTCTCTCCTAGAAACTAAACCCCCTTCTTTCAAGTGCTAAGACTCTTCTGGGCAGCCCCCTCGGTTCACCTCCCACTGTGGGAGCTTTTCTGTCCTCTTAATAAATCCTGCTTTCTCACTTAAAAAAAAAAAAGACTACTCTGACTTCTATTATTACATGTTACTTCTGCCTATTTTTAAATTTCATGTAATTGAAATGGCAAATCATGTGTTTCTTGACTCAATATTTTTTAATGAGATTCATCCATGGGATTACATATTACATGGCTTTTCCATTATCATTGATGCGTATTTTGTTCTCAGAATATCCCCCAAATATTTATTCATTCTACAGTTAATAAACGTTTAGGACATTTTTAGAGTGGGTCTATTATATACGGTGCTGCTATGAACACTTTGATTCATATCTTTAGGTACACATATATATGCAATATTGCTAGGTACATATCTTGGAAGAAATTGCTGATCATAAGATATGTATACATTCAGTTTTAGTAGATGTGAACATTTGTCTTAAGTGGTGGCATTAATTTACTTGTTCAAGCAACAAATAAAATTTTCAGTTGTTCCTCATTCTTATCAACATGTGGTATTGTCAGTCTTGTTTACTTTAGCCATTGTAGTTATTTTTATTTTTCTTTGCATTTACTTTATGAATTATATGGCTTCACATTTGTTCATATATTTCATATTCTCCTTTGTGAAGTTCCTGTTTAAATCTCTTACCTATTTGTAAAGATGGTTTTTCTGGGGTTTTTTCCTTATAAATATTTAGGAGTTATTTGCACATATTGGATAAATATATTTCATTTAATTTCTACCATTACATTTTGTATCTTGTCTTTTTCATCTTTAATGGTGCCTTGGATTAATGGAAACTCCTAATTTTAAAGTAATACAATTTATTAGTATTTTCTTTTATAGTTAAGGTTTTTGTATAATTTTAAATCAATCTTCGTATATTCCTAATTCCATATTTTCGTATGCTGTCTTCTAGAAGCTCTATTGTTTTACTGTAGCCAAGATTCATTTTAAAAATGTGTTCCACTCCCCCATGGTCGTCTAATGGATATAGAACTATTTATTGAAAAGAGAATCCTTTTACTATTACACTACAACACAGCTTTATCATAAATGAGATGACCCACAGGTGTGAATCTGTTCCTGGATTCTCCATTCTGTTTCATTTGTCTATTTGTTTATTCTCATGACAACACCACAATTATAGTAGCTTTATAATAGGTTTTGACAGCTGGAAGTGCAAGTCCTCCAATGCTGATCCTCTTCTAGAGGTGCTTTGCTGAATCTTGATCCTTTGCATTTCCACATACATTTTAGAATTAACTTGTCAACTTCTATAAAACATACCAACTGAAATCTTAATTGGAATTACATTGAATCTATAGATTTGGAGAGAAAATACATGTTTATTCTGACTTCAATCCATGATCCTGACATTTACCTCAATTTATATAGGTCTTTAATGTTTTCAATAACATTTGGTGTCAAAGTCTTGTACATCTGTTGATAAATTATTTCTACATATTTGAGGTGTTTGTTAAGTGTTATCTGGTGTCTGTTCTTTCAAATTTTATTTGTTGTTATTGTTTAAGTATATAATTGACTTTTGTGTATTAGCATTGCTAAATTCACTTAATAATTTAATTTAGCTTTATATTATTTTAGATTTCTCTGAGCATAAGAATCATGTTTTCGAATATGTTTGCATTTCTTTATGTCACTTAATAGTGATGAGTTCTCAGCAGTATCTTCTTGATTGGTGGACTGATAGATGTTATTCAAATTTAGTAATAGGTGACTAGATAAAAATATGTATGTATTCAATTCTTTATATTACATTAGAAAATGCTTGACAAGGTACATACATTTTTTTCAGATATGTTAATTTACTTGGAACAATAGCATAAAAATATGCCTTATTTCTTTTGTCTGCTTTCATCCATTGGTAGTGGCTGCTTGGGAAACCTGTATTAAGAAAGAGTCTGAGGCACTCAGGGCTAAGTATTGCTATTATATTCTAGGATTGCGTTAGGCCCAGAAGTTCAATGAAAATTAAAACCCTCATCAAGTTTAGAGTCTGATGTTTAGATGTCACTATGTTTCAGATTGTATGATAGATTATCTTCCAAAAGGTTTTTTTAAATTGCAATGCACCAAAATGCACCAAGAGAGTTGGATGGTCAATTTTCATCAGTATATTAACAAAGCAAGAAATTTCTAGCATATTTTTATAAATCCTGATTTTCAGATATGTGTGTGTTTCAAGTGCTATTGAATATTTGTGATTTGCTAATTCGAATGTATCATCCTATATGACAGATTATATTCCAAAAAGGTTTTGTAAATTCCAGTATACCAAAATGCACCAAGAGGGCTGGGTGTTCAATTCTGACCAGCATTTTTACAAAACGAGCAATTCCTAGTATTTTATTTTTATAAATCTTGATTTTAAGATATGTCTGTATTTCAAGTTCTAGTGTATATTTGTGATACACTAATTCTAGTGCATTGAAGAAATAAGTAAATTTTTAAAATACTTAGCATATTTGCATGTAGTGAGGTGCTGATAATGCCTGATAAATAGTAAAGGTAAGTCACAAGAAATTATAAAATAATTACCTAAACAAACAATAATATATAATAAAAGAATGGATATAACTAGGTATAAGACAAACTGATTCATCACTAATATACTAGCTATTTTCTGTATGCCACTTTTTGATTAGAAATAACAAAGCACTCAACATTCTTATAGATAAACTTCATTTGGCAAGGAAGACTCTATGGTCAAAGAATGAAGAAGGAATCCTCCTGACATCTCAAATTTACAATTAGTCTTAAAAAATAAATGGTTCCAACTTTCTTGAGACTATTCAGCTCTGTATTTCAATAAGTTCACATCCAAATACAATTATCCTTTTCTTTTTTTAATACAAGGAAAAGTCACAAACCTCTTTGGAAAGGGCACAATTGACCCTTCCTCTGTAATGGTCCTGGTGAATGCCATATATTTTAAAGGACAATGGCAAAATAAATTTCAAGAAGGAGAAACAGTAAAAACCCCTTTTCAGCTAAGTGAAGTAAGTATTTCATTGGTAGATTGATGACAAATTTTGTAGATTTAAATAATCATTTAAGGGCAATTTAGGAAGATTTAGTGAAGATATTAGTCTAGGTTTCTGTTCATTCCTTTAATTAAGTTTCCACAAATTTTCATTTTTCCCTTATCAAGTGACAGTCACCTTTCTCACTGGGCACCTAACTGGAGACTTTGAATACTAAGATTCTTTGGAAGATAAAAAAAAAAAGCCTATTCTTTTCTATGGCTACATTCTTTCCATGTATACCATGGTTATTTTTCTCTGGAAGCACAATAAAGCAATCTCTATTATTTTTCTTTTAGAGAGGCTTTAGTTGGGTTAAAAAGAAAATAATCTAATGATATCATTTTTTCTACATAATTCATTTTAGCTAGAAAACCTGGCTTTATATTTGGCAGACCCAAATTATCTATATAAATTATTGGAACTATTCAGACTATAATCATGACTTATTTTAAATTTTTTTTTAAATTGCAAAGGAGATAAAGGATATACTTTATGGTTTATATTTTTACCATGCCTCTAGAGTGTTAATACAGCTATTCATGTTATACAAGTATGATCAGTATACATGCATATGCATTCAAGTATGTAACTATACTACCTAATTGCTATTTTCTTTTACTTTAAACAGAGCAAAAATGTAACTGTGGAAATGATGTATCAAACCGGAACATTTAGGCTGGCCCTCATAAAAGAGCCACAGATGCAAGTTCTTGAGCTGCCCTATGTTAACAATAAACTAAGCATGATTATCTTGCTTCCAGAAAGCACAGCTAATCTGGAACAGGTAAAATTACTTAAATTCTGGTATGCAGCTAAAGCATGTGTGCATATGCATACACACACACACACACACACACACACACACACACACACATCTGTGTATCCTGTAACATTAGGGCAGTCACTGATTCACAATCTAGTTTTAGCAGTATTGCCCTAAGGACTGTGAAATTAAGCTGGGGACACATGGTCCCTATCCTTCAGGACTATGTTTTGGGTAGAACAAAGCATTTTAACTTTATTTTTTATTTTTTAATTGTTATTTTAAAGATGAGCAGTACAATTCAGGATTAGGTATACAAATGGTCATTCTTACCTTAAAAAAGGCACATGGAGGCAGAAGTGCCGTCATGCACAAATACACATGCATAGAGGTTGTTTCATAATTTGGAGACACTTTCCTATAATAATGTACATACATTGCTAGTTAATCTCAGTCCACAGAAATCTGATTAAACTGTATTATTCTTAAGGGTTGTGTTTCGGATCCAACTGTAACACGCTTTCATGAGCTTACTATTTTTGGCATCCTGGTTTTGTGGGGAAAGGAGCACCGCAACCCTTAAGGAGCTGTCTTGATGGTGATGGGAGTTTGAATTCAATCCTCTCCCCTTGGTTGCAGCCAAAGCTACCTTGCACAGAGCATGCAAGCATGTGAAGTGATTACACCATCTCCCCACACCTCTCTGGGACACCCTTGCCCCATCCCAGTGCTCTGCTCGAGTGACAGTTTCTTAGGAGAACAGCTGAGTTTTTGCGAGCCTGTAGAGGCTGACACACATGTGGCTAGTATGATCATACAGTCAGGGGTTTCTAAGAAAGGGAATGCTGACTTGAGGAAAAATCAACGTGGCACAGGTGGGCAGGTGGGGCGGAGACATGTGGGGAAGTCTTCTTGAAAAAGCTGGGTTGGAATATTGAGTTTGGATTAGGAAGTGAGATGGTACCCATCTAGAGAGAACTGAGGTAAGAGAAGCACAGTCGTGGCCACGAGAACAGGTGTGCTTGCAAGATGTGGCCAATTCAGGGGAGAATCAGGCCACTGGGAACCTGTGGTCGACTGGACTAGAAGATATTTGGAGGAATATATCAATTTGAAAGAAGCTTAGACTCGACAGAAAGTTATATATAAGCGAAGAGGGCATAAATTAGACTGAGGAGATCGGAACAGCTCTCCTAGTAGAGCAATTTCAAGGCAACACTCAGTGGATGAGTAGATGATGAATAGATGAAACACAGAGACCCTGCTGTTCCAAGCAGTGCAATGCCTTGGAATTATGAGGCAGCATGGATTTGTGTCATAAAGTCGTGACCACTGGATTCGGGCAGAAAAGGACGAAAGGACAAGATACTTTGGAAGAAAAACCACCTTTACTTTATGACAGATTTTATATTGTCAGGGCAAAAAGGAGATGTAAAAAATGTCTTAAACTCATGGACTGAGAAGATAGGATGTGACACAGCATGGTGGTTTGGAGCTGTGGGGAGGACTGCCTGGAGGGTTCAAATGCTCAAAAGGAGATATTTGAAGGGTGTACTAAAAAATGAAGAAACTGGGTGGAGAATAAGTCAGTGTTCTGAAGTCACTTTGGGAAACCTGAGGACCGATATGGGTGCTGATATGCTGGGAGGAGGTAGAAGGGACATTGGATTAGAGCTCAGACTTCGGCTTCAGAGACAGCGAAGGGGAGGGAGGAGAACACTTGAGGATGAATCTCTCAGAGTGGAGCAAGGGGATCTGGGCATCTGAAATGTCAAATGAGAATCAAGTTCATAAAGGTGGTTGTCATTAAATGTTTCAGATACGAGAACCAAGAAGAAGTGGCTGAATTTATTCAGGAAGCATGAACACAACCACTTCAGAGGCAAAAGATTGTAGGATACACATTTGAGAAACTTCATTATGAAATTCAGATGATAAATAGAAAAGGGAAGATGTAACAAAAGGCAAGATTTTCTTTTTCTCCAGATAAGTAGGACAATTTTTAAAAATATTTTTATTTTAACAATGTGAGGCCGGGTACAGTGACTCACGCCTATAATCCCAGCACTTTGGGAGGCTGAGGTGAGAGGATTGCCTGAACCCACGGATTCGAGATTAGCCTGGGCAACTTGGTGAGACCTCATCTCTATAATAAATCTAAAAAATTAACTGGGCATGGTGGCACGTGCCTGTCGTTCCAGCTACTTGGAAGGCTGAGGCTGAAGGATCACCTGAGTCCAAGAGGTCAAGGCTGTGGTGGCTGTGAGCACGCCACTGCTCTCTAGCCTGGGCAACAAAGTGAGATTCTAACTCAAAAAAAACCCCAAAAAACATGTGGGGTACAATTCAGGGCTAGGTACATAAGTGGTCATTGTACAGGTATGGTTTGGGTACCCTTACTTATGTTATGTGCCCTTCCCTCCCAAGTAGGATATTCTAAAGGCAGAAAAGAAAGTGATGAAATTGAACAACTGCCACTGAGAAGTATAACAGCATTTAATGTAGAGTTTGTGTGTTTGGTTCATCTGTATTTTATCTCTTAGATAGAAAAGCAGCTGAACGTGAGGACGTTTAACGAGTGGACCAATTCTTCTAACATGATGGAAAGAGAAGTTGAAGTACATCTTCCCCGATTCAAACTTGAAATCAAATATGAGCTAAATTCCCTGTTAAAATCCCTAGGGATGACAGATATCTTCAACCAGATCAAAGCTGATCTTTCTGGAATGTCACCAGCCAAGGGCCTGTATTTATCAAAGGTCATCCACAAGTCATACTTGGATGTCAGTGAAGAGGGCACGGAGGCAGCCGCAGCCACTGGGGACAGCATCGCTGTGAAGAGACTCCCCATTCGAGCTCAGTTCATGGCAAATCACCCCTTCCTGTTCTTTATAAGGCACATTCACACCAACATGATTCTCTTCTGTGGCAAGCTCGCCTCTCCATAAACTGATGGGGTAAAGCAAAGCTCGGAGTCACAGAAGAAGTGCAGGGGCAAACCCACAAAGTACCCCCTGACCAAACAGTTGTTCCTCCATCACACACCTCTGTGCCTCAGTTTCCTCATCTGCAAAATAGGTCTGGTATCTCTTCCGACTTATTTCATGGGCTGGTGAACCTAAGCCTATTATAATTGTGGAAGAAGGTACATTTACACAAAGAGCTTTTCTGACATTCTTATCTTTGTGGCCTCATTTGATGATATGATTAAGTCAGCAAGTAAAATTTTGGAGGATTAGATGTTCTAGATGTTCTGGACTTGCTTATATAAGTGAGATCTTGAATAAGTGACCTGACTGCTCTGTCTTCAATAAACTAGTTTAAGGGTTTTGACTTTGATTGGATTTTCAATATAATTATCATTTCCTTGCATGTGTAAATATAACATGGTGAATTTTAGTTCAAAATTCAGTGCTGACTATAATAAATGCATGAAACACCTTAAACTCTTCAAAGACTTTGCATACACCGAGGCAATTAAATGACTTATAAAAGGAAACCTTGAATTTGGAGAAGTATAATTCAATAAACATTTTAGTGGAATTTTTGGTCAAGTCCTTGTGAGTTCCTAAATTGAATAGTATATTCATTTTCCTTTTTCCTTCTTTCCTCCTCCTCCTCCTCCTCCTCCTCCTTCTTCTTCTTTTTCCTTCTCCTTGTCCTTATTCTTTAACTTTTCTTACATAATGTAGTAAGTAAAAGTTCAGAACAGCAAAACATAGAAATAACATTAGAAGATTTTTATTTGAAAGAAAACCTTCTTCTTTTCTACTTAGGATAACATGAAGCAATAATCAGATCCTAGTGATCATAATATATTTATTGCCTCCTCAATGCCCCCTGAATGTTTTTCCCCCGAATTCTCTAAGAGGTCTTAGCAGAGCAGAGGAGTCTCTCCCTACCTCAGCTCTTCCTTTACCTAACTTCATCTTAGAAGAAGCAGTTCAAGGTAAGCCATGGCTTCCCTCCTCAGGTGATGGGCAACTCTCCTTTATGACTGACAGCAGTGGCAGCCAATGAAGGTTTTTCCTTTCCCACTTGGAGCATCGAAGATTGTGGCTTAACTTAATCTTCAGTAAAGATACTATAAAATAGAAAATCAAGGAACAATTTTATAGCAAAAGTAGATGGATATCTACTTATAATAACATAAAATCACCTTGCTGCACTGAGTGGATGTCTTACTGCACATGTTCTAATGATTTTCTACTAAGCCCATTTGTCATATGGCATGGATTCAAGAAGCAGTCTCGGCCTACTTTACAAGATAATCCCAGACACAGTGGCTATAATTGTGATAATTGAAGAGACACAAAGGAGCAATGATGGGTGTAGAAAAATAAAGAATGGTTTCTTGACATCTACTTTTCATCTTACACAACTTGAGACAATAATGAAATCTGTCCAGTGAATGGGGACCCTTCTGGCCTGTGAAGGAGGTCAGAGGTATCACATAGCCCAGGCACTCTGGACTGACAATGGCAGAGATGTGTGACTCTCACTCTTTTTAGTTTCCAACAGTTAAGGAGCCCCAGAGCACCAAGCTGCAGACCCTAAAAACACACATTTTCTTGAAGAGGTAGGAACTGACTTGAAAGTCATTTAAAGTCAAAGCTGGAAGTGATTCTTTTTTGGGAGGGGTAGGCAGGGGGTCAGGTTCTCACTCTGTCTCCCAGGCTGGAGTGTAGTGGCTTCATCATAGCTCATTACAGCCTCAAACTCCTGGCCCAAGCATTCTCTCCTGCCTCAGTATCCTCAGCAGTTGGGGCCACAGGAGTGTGCCATCATGCCCAGCTAATTTTTATTTATTTATTTATTTTTTGCAGACACAGTGTTTGTTATGCTGCCTAGGCTGGCCTTGAACTTCTGGTCTCAAGGGATCCTCCTGCCTTGGCCTCCCAAAACACTGGGATCACAGACATAAGCCACCACACTCATCTGGGAGTAATTCTTTATAGAGGTCTTTCAAAAGCACTAATGTGGGTTCTGGGCAATGAGACAGGACTTGAGGAGTCAATGTATAAACCAGACTTGAGAGGGAAGGTAGAAAGGAACTGAAGGGCTTTTGGAGTGCTGGACACAGGAGATTTTAGGGGCATTCTGTTAGTCATGATTCTGCAGAAAAACAGAAACAATATGAGTATTAGTCGGAAGAATCCTGACTAATAGGTTGCCCTTAAAGGCTTTTGAAACTCTCTCTCTCTCTCCTTCCTTCCCTCCCTCTCTCCATCCCTCTTTATTTTTCTCTGTGTGTTTCTCTATGTCTGTGTGTGTGTGTGTGTGTGTGTGTGTGTGTGTGTGTGTGTGTATAGCTACTACTGTCAATTATAAAAGAGGACTGACCATTACCTCGGGAGGGAAGTGTAACACACATACACATACACATGTGCACACACACACACACACACACACACACACACACACACACACTTACATGTATCTCTCCCATATGTGAGGGTGGGAAGAGAGAGAGATCATCTATTTAAAGTAAGTGGCTCATATAATAGTGGAGGATGTCAAGTCCAAAATATGCAGGGCAGGCTTGAGACCCGGGGAAGAGCTGATTTGTAACTCAAGTAGAGTCTGATGGCAGTCTGGAGGCAGAATGTTCTCTTCTTCATGAGACCACACCCTTAGGGAATTGCATGAGACCTACCCCCACGATGGAGGGTAATCTGCTTTACTCAAAGTATGTTGACTTAAATGTTAATTTCATTTTTAAAAGCCTTCACAGCAACATCCAGGCTGGTGTTTGGCCATGTATATGGATACTGTGGTTTAGCCAAGTTGATACACAGAATTAACCATCACAGACATCAAGTATCAGGGGCAGGGAGTAAGTGAAAGTTATTTTCAGCCTTTCAAAGAGCTAATCAAAATTGTGCTTTTGCCATTATAAACAATGCAACAAACCAGCAAGACTCATAGAATTTAATCATGAAAGAATCCTTCTTTTTCTCTCCCATTGTCCATATATAGCTGCTTAGTGGATGATCCTTTCCTAGCTCCAGCTAGAGAACTCTGATGGTCCTCATGGCTTGGTGGTCACACCTAAAATCCAGAAAGCCTGTGAATGTTTCACATCACAAACATAGAATCAGTAAGTCAAAGATTAAGCCCAGACATTAATCGAAATCCTTACCATTCCATGAGTGGTCCGGGGACCAATAATACTAGCCTCACATGGGAGCTTGTTAAAAATAGAAATGCAAATTCCTGGACTCCATCCCAGAGCCACAGAATCAGAACTTGCAGTTTAACAAGTTCCTCAGGTGATCTGTGTACACACAGAGATGCACTGATCATAACTGCAGAGTTGATGTACTAGTGAGTTTTCTGACCTCCCACCAGCTGGGGTAGGTACAGAGAGAAGCCTGTGATCTGGAAGACAGGGTTGGTCCTTCCCTTACCCATCTGCTGCTTCTGGACTCCTAAGGAGTAGGAGTAGAAGAGGAGCTGAGAAGGGGATGAGACAGTCTTACTGATTTACAAGCTGACATCACCCTCTGGGCCTGCCATTTTGCTTGTAAGAGCTGTTGTCAAAGGGCCCTTCTGTTGCCTTGCTGGCCCCAGTGGTACACTTCACCACCATAGTGATTCAGTCCCCTTGTCTTTTTGGCAAAGTTTCTTTCTCCTGCTTGAGGTTTACTGAATTTCTTGGAGTTATCAGCCAATATGTTCCATCCGATTTGAAGAATTGTCAGTTATTGTGTAGTAGAATTTCAACCCATGAATAAGTGACTCACCAGAGAGCACACCTTCCAGGTGGAGAGGAGAAACTCTGGGACCTGAGTGGTGTTGTGACTAAGAGAGAAACTGACCTGGGTAGCCACACTCCCTCCCAACTTTCCCACCCAGCCTACCCCGCCCCTCATACTTGGGCTGGTCATTTCTTCTCCACCAAAATGTCTCCAGCTGGTGGCACAAAGTGTGCCACCTCCCAGGATGGGCTATCTAAGGTACACAGGGAGAGACAAGGTAAGAGTTTATGCAACTTTAGCCTTACAACCCACACAGCCTAAAATATTTACAATCTTCACTTTACTTGAAAAGTATGTGGACCTCTCCTTAAGGGCAGAAACAGCTCTACTCCTCAGGACTGGCCTCTCCGAGGTCTTTATTGAGTATTTCTGTTGAATGTCTGCTTGTGGTGGTCTCTCCACTCTAACTGGTCAGAATCCCAGTATTTCCCAGATCTTTGCAACCTCTAGAGTCTCCATTTGCCTCCTAGTCTTCCAGTGGCTTTAAGGTCTAGTGGAGCTCCATGATGGGTGTGCAACTTAAGGTCTGGGCAAAATCTTAAGGAAATCCATACAGTTGCAACCTCCTGGACTTCCCCTCTCTATAGCTTTCTCAGCTCCAGTATTTTGGCCCAGAATTCAATTTCACAGACCTTATCTCTCACTTCTGGTCCTCTGCCCAGCAAGAGCACGGTTCTCAGTGTGGGTTTCACTTCCAGAGAGCTATGGGAATGTGGAGTTCCCTAAAAGTGATTTCTTTTCCCATAGATGTGGCTTTGTGCTATCTGTGATTCAGTGACTCAGACAAGTGCCTCCTGCATTCTGTCTAGTTTTATTGTTATTTACCAAAGAGGGGAACATTTGACACTTGTTACTCATGAAAGCCAGAACCAGAGGTCCAATGTCCCTTGGCAGTGACCCCAGGATAACATTCCTGCCAGAGTCTACATCTAGTCCCCCAAAATCTTACTTCTTTGGAAATCCTTAGAGTTATATATGGTTCTTCCCGGATACAGCAGCCCTGTGTTCCACTTCAGTTTCCTTGGGCCATAGTCTCCTAATAACAGAGAACACATACCATGTCCTCTTGGCAGTCTTGTTGAAGCAGCTCTAAAGACCAAGAGAATGAGTGTGCCTCTCTACATCTCTTCAAAGAAATCCTCTTCACAATTCCTCTCTTGATCTCTGTTTTCTTGAACTTTTGTATCTAAAATGTAAATATGGACATTCAAGCTTCTCACAGTCATTTTAGGGGTTACCTACATATCTAGTATCTCCTTTGGAAAGGCAGTACTTCATTTATTTTGGTCCCACACTTGAACTTAATTTGGCATTCTGTTACACTTGCCATCAGGTAACCTATTTCTGTTTACTATTATGGCAGACATATCAAAACTGTCAGTATCCACGACATTTCATGCTGATCAGACTCTCTGATTGAAAGTCATTGATGTCTTTGATGAAGGAAATCTGTGAACTAAGGCAGTTTTGAAGTTAAAATCTTTCAAAACATGGGAGAAAAAATTAATAGAAGTGAAGAAAAATTAGGAA